TTTCAGCTTTTGATATTTCAAGTAGTTAATCATCACATTTCAATGAAATTTGGTACACAGATGTCATAGACACTGCACAGACCTGATAGTTTTTAGGGTAATATCAGTATATATTAATTACCTAATTTGCATAATTAATTAATTTTAAGCTTTGATATTTCAAGTAGTAATCATCACATTTCAATGACACTTGGTACATAGATGTCATAGGACACTGCACAGACTTGATAGTTTTTAAGTTAATATCAGTATATATTAATTAGCTAATTTGCATAATTTTCAGCTTTTGATATTTCAAGTAGTAATCATCACATTTCAATGACACTTGTTACATAGATGTCATAGGACACTGCACAGACCTGATAGTTTTTAGGGTAATATGAGTACATATTAATTACCTAATTTGCATAATTAATTAATTTTCAGCTTTTGATATATCAAGTAGTAATCATCATATTTCAATGAGACTTGCTACATAGATCTAGGATTATGCAGACACCTGATTAGTTTTAATTGGATATTAATTACCTAATTTGCATAATGTTCCACTGATATATAAAGAACCACAAATTGGATTTTAATGAAACTTTTAAAGAGAACTATGCAGAAACCCAATTAGTTTTTGGTAAATAGTTATGCTTATTAATCACCTAATTAACATAATTAATTAACACTGATATCTCAATTACTGATCATAATATTTGAATAAAATTTGGTACATAAATGCTCTAGGACAATAGACAGGCCTGATTAATTTTGGGTTAAAATTTGTTCATATTAATTCTCTAATTAGCATAATAATAGTTCTGTTCATATTAGTTACCTGATTTACATAATTAGTTTTCAGCTTTTCCATCAATATCTCATGTACTAGTAATTTTGAATTAATTTTTAATGTGTCTTCAATACTCTCAGCACACGGGAGTTCTTTCTAAGCTTTCTTTGATTTTTATTTTGAACATACATGTATAGTTATGAAAGACACAAATTAATATTATCAAAAGTGTTTCCTTCCAAATTACAAAAATATACATATTTTATATTTTGTAGAGTCATATACCAGTATTTTGATTTATTGTGAAGAGGTTCAAGGCAGTGAACATGTACATCACTGTAATTTTCTTAATAAAGAAATCAAAAGTTATCGAAAATTATTTATTAATTAATATTAATAATTTATTAATTAATATAAAAATTAATATTTCCTCAGCTAAATAATACTAAATTCACAACTGACAATGTTTGATGTTAGTTTTCAAGTACCACAGTAATTATACTGTACCATTGTCAATATGGATTCCATGCGGTATACTTTTCAACACTGTAATTTAACTAATTCAAAATTTGATAGAAAGTATATTTTGACAATATCAAGATCTTGTTAATAATATGCACTATGCTAAATTTGCAAAAATGGCATGTAGATATTTCAAAGTTTAAAACCTATGTAAATTATATTGTACACATAATATGGATATGCTGTAAAAAACTGTGATGCTTTAAAGTAAAAAAAACACTGCTACAAATGAAAGTATTACATATACCATTCAAGGACTAAACAACTTTTTTAATTTATTTATAAAAATAGAGTACCCTGTTATTATACAAAATTTGTTTGATTTATGATGTCTTGGTGAAAAAAAATCACAAAAATTTTCTTGAAAAAACTAAGGTGTTTAGTACTATTAATTACACGCAAGTTTTAAAAAATGAAATTATTTGTTAATAACCTTCATTAAACTTAAACTACGTGTAATGATGTGACACTAATGAAAGGTCACAGCATGAAGACCCCCAGTAACAACAACCAACCACGAATACAGCACCTTAATAATTAAAAAATAATAATTGATACAATGTGGCTTGAATAATAAATATAGAGCTTCCTATGCTATCCATTGTTATGTAAATAGAGAACTCTCGGTAAATTCTAGGTTATGAAGCCAGACATGGAAATCACCTCCTGGCTGGCTATCACCAACCATTTAAAAATGTCACCGGATTGTATGAAGAAGATACTGGTAACTATGGAAACTCGCATCCCAGTACTTCCATCAAACCCATAGTCACATGCAGTCAAATGAAGGTTAACTTCAATATGGCTTCTGGAATTTTGCTCTTCAACCTAGGGGTGCTACTTGGAACATTGGTCTCAATCTTGGCTTGATGCAGGGTGCAGCAATGACATTCCCAGGGTGGCACACATGTCATCTATGTGTGTGTGTGTGTGTGTGTGTGTGTGTGTGTGTGTGTGTGTTGATGTTGGCTTGGTGCAGGATGGCACACATGTCATCTATATGTGTGTGTGTGTGTTTGTTGCTGTTGGCTTCGTGTAGGATGGCACACATGTCATCCATGTGTGTGTGTGTGTTGATGTTGGCTTGATGCAAGATGGCACACATGTCATCTATGTGTGTGTGTGTTTGTGTGTTTGTTGCTGTTGGCTTCGTGTAGGATGGCACACATGTCATCCATGTGTGCATCAATCTCATCTTGGTGGTGCACTCTGAGCTCTTGACACCCTAGGCATGTAATGTTCACACCATCCTTCAAAATCCTCCACTGCCATATTGACAATTTTGGCCCGCACAAACTAAAAAGATAAAACACAAGGGATAATTCTGCAATCTCAAATTAAGGTAATCAATACCTAATTTTTGAAGAGGTCATTGCAACTTGCATACACTTGGAGCGATCAAGTTCAACTTCATATGCCCATGCATTTGTTTCATGATCTGATTCAAGTTGGTCGAATAGCACCAATTTTAATCACATACATATATATTTGCTATTCAGAAACTGTTCTCAATCGATTTGATTTAAACTTGGTACATACATTGAACATAATGGCCCCTTGATGAGTATCATTATATTTTTCAGATGGAGTTAAAAATTTTGTTTTAAAGAATCCTGGGCAGATTGAGTTGTAACTTCACACATAAATCATATCTGACATATAGATGCACTTGTTTCATAATCTGATTCTAGATGGTCAATTTGCAGCCATTTTAAGGCCAAAAAATTGACAAAGTCATTTTGTTTTAAAGAATGCATATATATCTAACATGCCTGGACTAATCAAATTCAAACTTCACACATTAGGTCACTATACCATTGACAACTTCACACATTAGGTCACTATACCATTGACAACTTCACACATTAGGTCACTATACCATTGACAACTTCACACATTAGGTCACTATACCATTGACAACTTCACACATTAGGTCACTATACCATTGACAACTTCACACATTAGGTCACTATACCATTGACAATTACACACATTAGGTCACTATACCATTGACAACTTCACACATTAGGTCACTATACCATTGACAACTTCACACATTAGGTCACTATACCATTGACAACTTCACACATTAGGTCACTATACCATTGACAACTTCACACATTAGGTCACTATACCATTGACAACTTCACACATTAGGTCACTATACCATTGACAATTACACACATTAGGTCACTATACCATTGACATATACTTGTTGACTAATTAGCTTACAAGGCTGCTTATGAGGTGAGTGAGGTCAATTATGAAATTTTGTTGAATTAATATTTGTTTTGACCATTAACACCTTACCTCAACTGCTGCACAGATGTCAGGTGAACATAATTCCCAACTTCTCAATCCAGTTAACACATTCAAGAACCTTTGTGGGGTAATTTTTCTACTTTCAATGTTTCCAATACTCTCTAATTTATCAACAATGGCTGCCACTCTCCTGTCTTCAATCAAACCATGGGGGATATTTTTTATCAGTTCTTGAAACCTTAATGAATGAAAGACACACAAAAAGTCATGATACAACTGACTAAGGCATAGTCTAGATAATGCAGCCTTTAATAATCAGGCTAATTGGGTAATTAATATGCACAGATTGCAACCAAAAACTAGTCAAATATGTGCATTAGGCAGAGCATCTATGTACTAAGTTTCATCAAAATCCAATAAGCGGTTCTTTAGGTTTTGGGGTGTTGTGCACTGATAGAGAATGACTTTATTTACTTTATTTGTTCATGGTTTATAATGCTGGATCTAAGTTACTCTTATGATACCTTAAAAATTATGCATATGTGTAGCAGCCCATTTTCTTGACAGGGCCAGATTGCATGCTAATACATCAATTTACACTGGACCACAGATGAGCTCAAAAGGTACCAGTTACAGGCGACAAACATTTTCCCAAATATACCATGCCCTGAACTTTCACTTAAGGGCAAGGCAAAAATGAACAAATCTGAAAGGTTCAGCAAAGGTAGCAAATTTCCCAAAAAAGCTACCGGGTAATGAGGTTTGCAGATCATCTTATCTGGAATGTCTGTTCAATTAGTAAATGATCCAATCAATGAGGTTAGCCCCAAACATGATCTTACAGATATGGTGGGAGGGCGGCATACTAATCATACAAACAAGATAAACTATAAAATTCTTCCAAGTTGCTGCCAATAACAATTATTGAATAAATTTCTCACCATTTTACTTCTTCTTCTTGTTTTTTTCTTTGTTTTTTGGCTTCTGTTTTGCTCTCATGGTCATCAGTAACATGTTTTAGTTTATCTAGCTGCTTACTGATGTGCTTCTCATTCGTAATAGCTTTGAACTTCTCTTCACTCCTCCACAGTCTTTTTCTGTTAAAACAAAGATGACATTTAAAATAAATTACCCATGTATTGTATCATAGTTACCGTAAATTTTCTAACTAGGCATATCTTGGAATCAAACCAAGGCCTTTCTTTCACTCTCTTTCACTCTCATCTTGTCTTAACAGATTTTACTTCATTTCTGTTTGTTCTATGGAAGTCTGCACATATTTTTAAGAGAATGATTTAACAGCTGCCCTGAGACAATATACAGACCTGATTAAATTTTGGTTGAAATTTTTGCATAATAATTAGTCTAATTTCAGCTTTTTTAACAATATCTTAAAACCTACAAACAAATTTTAATGAAACCTGGTACACTGGTTAGTTCTTAGTTGAAAGTTGTGAATATTGAATAGATAATTTGCATAATAATTAGTCAATATTTTCTGTTGGTACATAGATACTGTTATAATCCATAAACAAGTCATTGAAAATGACACAGTCCCCTTAAATTTTTAAAAGTTTTTTTGTGCTCGTCATATTAAAGTGAAGAAGTTGTCGCGAGCGTGTCCTTGAAATTTGAGTTCCAAGTGGCGTATACAACAGATTGTTTATTTTTATCAAAACACGTGTTCCTTGTAGTAGTAATATGGCCAAAAATAAAAACAACCGTTATTCGGCCATCTTTGATCTGATTATGAAACACACTGATATGTATGATGTATGTGCCAAATATGAATGAAAATGGTACATAAATTGTGGAAATATAGCAGTAAGGCCAAAAAGTCAGATGGCTGCCAATCGGCCATCCTTGACCAGATTTTGAAACAAATTGTCATGGACATGCATCCTAACATGTATAAAGTACATGTATGTGCCAAATTTGAATGAAAACTGACAGAGCACGTCCAAGATACTGCATAAAAAAAACAAGATGCCTGCCAGTCGACCATCTTTGATCCAATTGCGAAATAAATCGTCATGGACATGTACGGACGGACACACGGATGGACGGACACACGGACGGACTCAGGAACTCACAGATGGTCGGGGGCATGTATCCTAACATGTATGATCTATGTACTAAATTTAAATGAAAACTGACAAAGCATGTCCAAAATACAACATTTTCAAAAAACAAAATGGCTGCCAGTCGGCCATCTTTGATCCAATTGTGAGATAAATCGTCATGGACATGTATCCTAACATGTATAATCTATGTACCAAGTTTGAATGACAACTGACAAAGCATGTCTAAAATACAACATTTTCAAAAAACAAGATGGTTGCCAGTCGGCCATTTTGAATCAAATCACCTAAACCACTGCATGTGCATATGTCCCACATAAGGTACTAGGCACATGCAAAGAATGAACGGAATCGGTCCTCAGGATTCTGAAATATGACTCTGGACAGAGTGACGCATGGACGGACGAACACACGGATGGACTCAGAAACTCACGGATGGTCGGAGACATGTATCCTAATATGTATGATCTATATACTAAATTTAAATGAAAACTGACAAAGCATGTCCAAAACACAACATTTTCAAAAAAACAAGATGGCTGCCAGTCGGCCATCTTTGATCCAATTGTGAAATAAATTGTCACGGACATGTATCCTAACATATATGATCTATGTACCAAGTTTGAATGAAAACTGACAAAGCATGTCCAAAATACAACATTTTCAAAAAACAAGATGGCTGCCAGTCGGCCATCTTTGATCTAATTTTGAAATAAATCGTCATGGACATGTATACTAACATGTATAATATATGTACCAAGTTTGAATGAAAACTGACAAAGCATGTCCAAAATACAACATTTTCAAAAAACAAGATGGCTGCCAGTCGGCCATTTTGAATCGAATCGCTAAACCACTGTATGTGCATATGTCCCACATAAAGTACTAGGCACATGCAAAGAATGAACAGAATCGGTCCAAGGGATTCTGAGATACGACTCCGACTGGATGGAGGCACGGACAGACGGACGGAGACCGAATTATAAGTCCCCGTTTTTGGACTTCGTCCGAACAGGGACTAATAACTGAATGAAAATTCAATCATATTAATTACTATATTATAAGGTTTCTTTGATATTTCATATATTTGAGAACAGTGAATTTGCTTAATGTACATGTTAAGAAGACAAGTCATTATTAATGATATAGTCCCCTTTTGGAATTAGGAGGAATATGAATGAAAAAGATCTACAAGCCTTTGAGTTTTAGTATGGACAAAAAGCAAGATGGTCAAAGTCAGCCATCTTTGATCTGATTGTAAAACAAATTGTCATGTAATCTAAAACAATGTATGTATAAAAACTGACAAAGCATGCATAAAATACCACATTTTCAAAAACCCAAATGGCTGCCAGTCAGCCATCTTTGATCAGATCGTGAAAGGATCTTAACATGTATAATGTATGTTCTGACAAAGCATGCATAATCAGTAAACCACTGCATGTGCATACGCCCAAGATAAAGTACTAAATGATAAAGAACAGATTTGGTCCACAGGGTTCTGAAATTTGACTATGGATGGAAGGAGACCGAATTATAAATCCCTGTTTTCAACTGTGTTCGAACAGAGACTGTAATAATATCAGTAGCATGATAATTCTAGCCATAATTTAATATTCCAACCTAACTGAAACACACTGTCAGGAAATCACACAAAAAACAAATTTGTTGTGGTTATCTATCTTGTGAAGAAAGGTTATAATATATTATGAACAACATCTACTGTATGGTTGTATGAAACTGCAGAACTTACTTTTCAAATAGTTCAAGAGAATCGTGTAGCACCAGTGCTTTCTCCTCGGCAACATCTGTGAATCTGTGACGACACTCTGAAGGAAGGTTCCAATATTTCTGACTTGGAAAAGTTGTTTTGATTCCCTTACAGCAGGTG